TATGCCAGATAGATATGTCAGAAAATATGCCAGAAGATATGTCAGAATATATACCAGAAGATATGTCAGATAGAATACCAGAAGATATGTTAGAATATATGCCAGAAGATATGCCAGATAGAATGCCAGATCAAATGCCAGAAGATATGTCAGATAGAATGCCAAATAGAATGTCAGAAGATATGTCAGATAGAATGCCAGAAGATTTGCCAGTAAGAAAATGTATAAATGTCATAGTGGGAATCACACGAAGTAAAGTAATTTTTATATATATTTTATATATTTTATATATATTTTTTATATATAATTTATATATATATTTATATATTATTACATATTATATATATATTTTAAATAAATAATTAATAATTATCGATAATTATATAATATAATTTTATAATTTTGTATTTATTAAAATAATTTATTCGTAGATTATTTTAGGATAATTATTAATAAATATTATATTTTGTAAATTAGGTATTTTTAAATATTTCGATCGAAATAATTAAAATTATATAATATATTGGATATTGGATTATTAAAAAAAAAAAATATTTAAAATTAATAATAATATATTTAATATTATATTTATAAAAATATAAAAATAATATATATAATTTCTAAAATATATTTTTTATATATTTTTTTTAAAAGATATCAAAATTTATTTTTAAATATTTTTAAATTCCTAATTTATATAATTTATAATTTTTATTAGAAAATTATATATATTAATTAAATCAAATAAATTCTTATATATATATAATATATATATAATATTAAAAATAATTATTATTATTTGTATTTTAAATTAATTATTATTTATATATGTATTTAAATATTATTAATTATTAAAATTAATTATTTATAATTAATATAAATATAAAAATTATTAATTTTGGAAATATATATTATTTATATATATTTATATATAATAAATTAATTAATTAAAATATATATAATTTAAATTTATTTCTAATTTATTTTTAAATTAAATATATATTTTTATATTTTAAAAAAATTATAAATTTTATAATTATAAATATATGTTTAATATAATTTAAATTTATCTCGATTGAATTTCTTATTTTTTTCCAATTTAAAGATATATATTAATATTTAAGAATATTGATATTTCCTTAGATTAATTATAATTATAATTGCGGGGAATTAATATATATAATATAATAATTTTTAATATATATTTGATTCTTATGATTTATATATTAATATTGTGTTGTTTTTATGATAGGTAAATAGGTGATCCTTAAACCCATAGGCTGCATCCATTTATTTATAATATTATTATATATTAATTTTATTCCCTATATTATTGTATTTACATCCATATTATCCCCTATATAATTTATTACCCACCAGCCACATCTCATCCCACAGCAGCAGCTGCTGCTGCTGCCGCTGCTGCGGCTGCTGCAAAGAAGCTGCCTCCCAGGAGGTGCAGCGGTGGGTTGGCAAGCATCAACCTGAAATGAGTGGTGGTCGTGATTCAGGTATTCAGGTCATCCTGCAGTGATTGGTGGTTTCAACCCACCAAAACTATTCATCAAATGGGATCATAATTCCAACTAGAATGGAACATAAATGATTGGAATGATTGGAACCACCAGATCATTATTGGTAACTACCCATCATATCCCCATGTATACGGTTAAATCCTGATGTTGCTTAAATCATTACCCATCATGTCATGGTGATATTCATTTCCTCTGAAATGGCTAATATGTATTATCAAGACCTGAAAGGGACCTAACGGCGCCCCCAACCGCACTAGATCGCACTAGGATTTTTTTCCCATGTTCAAAAATCGCTGAGATCAATCATCTCTTCACCACTCGGAGAATCAACTTCAGGAACGATGAAAACCTAGGAAATCAACTCAGACATGTCAACTCAGAAAGGGTTTTCTTTTGGGAAATTCACCTAATAACAAAAACCAAGAACATCAAAAAAAAACATGGATTCGTTGACAAGCCACTGTTTTGACGTCTGGGTCATCAGAGCCACCAAGCTCATCCAGCCCATCAATGTAGGCTACAGATCTTGCCGCCAAAAGGGGTGCACGAACTTCATCATGGACCCGCTTCAGAACAGCCATGGGGTCTTGCCCATCCCATTCATGAAGTAATCCTCTGACCTTGTCATGGGTCAAATGATGTTTAGAATCCAATTACCTATTTTAATCCCCATAGGTTTGTCAGGAACCTGCAACAAACAGATTTGGAGGTAAGGGAACATGGCAACATCCAATGAGCCAAGAAACCTGCTCAAGTGCCCTTGTGCACATATCATCTGAAGATTCCGGGATCACATTGAACTCAATATGTTCCTCAGATGTCTAATCGTCAACAGCATAAGGGAACAACCACAGGGAATGGTGTTGTGTCAACAAAAATAACACCCATAGAGGGAACAAAAAAAATTAAACACATACTGTGGATGGAAGAAATCCTGCACCAGTTAGGAACTAATTAGGTACCTATGTAACATTGAAAATAATGGTGTTATAATGGGAAAACCCATTTACCAATTGGTGACGGATTTCTTCCATCCACAGTATCAACTGCAAAGCCATGCTGTCAATATGGTCGCCAGAGGTGTTTTGCAGGTGCGGATGTACAAAACCGGTATCGAAACCTCAAGGGATCTGGTCAAATCAAATCAAAAGAATATACCCGATCCAACACTAAATCAAACCATTCAAACATCCAAATCCCAATTCAAACATCCAAATCCAATCAATCTCAAGCCAAAAAACGGTCCGGAAGCACTCTCGAGGGCCCCTTGGCCTTGTAAACCAGGAACTTCGTCTTCTGCTGTACAAACACATTAGTTTGTTTGCACGCAACAAACATCCGAAGTCTTTTCCCACCTAATACAGGATAGTTATCAAATCTAATCAAAACCATAATGGAAATCATCATCATCACCACAATCCAACCTTGTGGAACACCATATGGATATTTCCTAAATGGAAGTACACCAAAATCTATTAAATTTAATTATTTTTGATGTACCGGTACCATACATCAATTTTAACAAACAAAAATAAACATAGTCTGTAAAATAACATAAAACCAATGATAATAGTTAATCACTTGACTTGCATCTTAGCTAAGTAGTTTGGACCATGTGTCATGCGTCCACTAAGTAGTGTCGGCTGCCGCCACACAAACACACATTTGCTCAAAACTGTCATTGCAAATTCTAATATGGAATAAATTTTACGTACAAAACACTTCCATTATTGTAAACCTCAAAAGGATTGGGTTGCTTTTACTCACACACAGCGCTTAAAATCTCCATAAGTATCCATAAGTACTGTTAATCTAGTGGGACCATTTAAATCTGGGCTTCACGGCCATATTGAAAACACGTCTAAGAAAAAAAATAACAAACAAGGGGCTGAAGAAAACTAACAAACAATGAATTAACAATGAAAACAGTGAAAAATAATGGTAAGAAGAAAAATAACAAACATAGGTGATTATAGGTGCCTCTCAGTGGACTTGACCAGGACATTTCTAATCAGCTCCCGGTCTTCATCCACTCGATATCCAGATCCAGAGGGCACAGATGCCCCCATTGTGCCACCAGCAGATAATGATGAGGATGCATCCATGGCTCCACTTGGCATCCAATTTCAATGTCAATGCTGATTTGTTTTTCACAATTCCAAATTCTTGCCAAATACATACAATTATTTCTGGAACAATATTATTTTTGCCATCATCCGACATCTATCCCGCATCCTGATCTGTGAGGAGCTTATGTGCTTTGTTCACTACATTATTTCTGATCCATGACCATCCACGGCCCCATATCAAACATATTGATTATGTGTTTTGTTTACTACCTTTTTTCTTGAACCATGAATCCACGGCCCCGTATCAAACATTTTAATTATGTGTGTTGTTTACTACCTTCTTTTTTGATCCATGAATCCACAGCCCCATATCAAACATCTTGATTATGTGTTTTGTTTACTACATTTTTTGTCCATGAATACATTGCCCTGTATCAAACATATTGATTATGTGTTTTGTTTACTACATTTTTTCATCCATGAATCCACACACCCGATATCAAATCTCTTGACTATGTGTTTTGTTTACTACCTTTTTTTATCCATGAATGCACCGCCCTGAACCAAACACCTTGATTATGTGTTTTGCTTACTACATGTTTTGATTCATGAATCCACGGCCCCGATATCAAATCTATTGATTATGTGTTTTATTTACTACCTTTTTTGATCCATGAGTCCACGGCCCCCAAATCTAACCTCTTGATTATGTGTTTTGTTTACTACCGCCCTCATTCATGAACCCACGGACTGACTGCCTCTGACCAGGTGCCCACCTCGGGCAAGCCGGGTGGCCCCAATAATTGTGGTGATTATGGGTTCATATTATCTAAGTGATGCGGAAAGAAAACCAAAACATCACGGGGAATTAAAACATGCACACAATTATTTATTCGGATAATGATTACATGTTGGAATGTGGTTTTAAGTCTAAGTTTCAATGTTTTTTTTTAAAAAAATATGGTTTTTTCGTAATTTGGGATTTGCATCGATCTGTTCAGCTTTATTGACTTGGGGGGGGGGGTACAGGAGGATCCAATCTAAACAATGTAATTTGTGTTCTGCCGCATTTTAGTAACAATAGCATTTGGACACACATAGGCTACAAGACTGTTATATCCATCACTGAGTACTTATGCACCCCAGGGCTCCAATCCTACTCTGGTACTGTATCACCATCATCATTATCATTATGGTCATCACCATCAGCAACACCATCACCGTCATCATCATTATCAACAACATCAACATCATGATCATCATCATCGTCATCGTCACCATCATCATCATCAGCAGCAGCAACAGCAGCATCAGAATCTACACATAGATATCATCAGAAGTCACCGGACATGAACATTTGGAGATTCTCCCATGCCCTGGGTCTTAGCCCGCTGCCATGGCCAGCAAAACGACTTGCCAGCTCAAGCACATGGCATCAAGGGCCAGTTTTTGGAAGCAGGAGTTTCCCGGGGTCAAGGTTGGCCCACATGGCATCCTATGCAAAATCTGCCAAAAGGCAAATGTGAATTCACTGTGGGCATCTGGCAAAGGTGCCTTGCCTTTTTTTAACCAAAAAAAGGGTACACCAGAAACTGATATTTCCCCACCTGTCAGGTGAGGGTTGTTAGATTTTATCACAGGTGTTCTCCTCCTCCTCGGCTAGCTGTCCTCCTCCTCGTCCTCCTCCTCGTCCTCCTCGTCCTCCTCCTCCTCCAGTTTCTCCTCGACCATTCTATCTGGCATATCTTCTGGCATATTATCTGGCAAATCTTCTGGGATTCTATTATTCTATCTGGCATATCTTGTGGCAGTCTATCTGACATTTTATCTGGCATTCTATTTGGCATACCTTCTCATATTCTATGTGGTATATCTTCTGGCATTCTATATGGCATATCTTCTGGCATTCTACCTGGCATATCTTCTGACATATCTTCTGGCATATCTTCTGGCACTCTATCTGGCATATTTTCTGACATTCTATCTGGTATTCTATCTGGCAAATCTTCTGGCGTTCTATCTGGCAAACATTCTGGCACTTTATCTGACATACCTTCTGGCAAGATATACTAGATAAAATGTCAGATAGAATGCCAGAAGATATGCCAGATAAAGTGTCAGAATGTTTGCCAGATAGAACGCCAGAAGATTTGCCAGATAGAATGCCAGATAGAATGTCAGAAGATATGCCAGATAGAGTGCCAGAAGATATGCCAGAAGATATGCCAGGTAGAATGCCAGAAGATATACCACATAGAATGCCAAAAGATTTGCCAGATAAAATGCCAGAAGATATGTCAGATAGAATGCCAGAAGTTCTGCCAGTAACAAAATGTATAAATGTCATACTGGGAATAACTCGAAGCAACGTAATTCCCCACCTGCCAGGTGAGGGTTGCTAGATTTTATCAGCGCTGTTCTCCTCCTCCTCCTCCTCAGCTAGCTGTCCTCCTCCTCCTCCTCCTCGTCCTCCTCCTCCCCAGTGTGCACCGCTGGACCTCAACCTGGGATTTGCCCAGCGCAGTGTGCACTGCTAGACCTCAACCGGGGACCTCCCCAGCTCAGTATGCATTGCTGCACCTCAACGGGCAGATAGAATACCAGAAGATATGCCAAATAGAATGTCAGATGGAATGCCAGAAGATATACCAGATAAAATTCCATAAGATATGCCAAATAGAATGCCAGAAAATATGCCAGATAGAATACCAGAAAATATACCAGATAAAATGCCAGAAAATATGCCAGATAGAATGTGAGAAGGTATGCCAAATAGAATGCCAAATAAAATAATAAACTGCCACAAAATATGCCAGGTAGAATGCCAGAAGATATGCCAGATAGAATGCCAGAAGATATGCCAGAAGATATATCAGATAGAATGTCAGAAGATATGCCAGATAGAATGCCAGAAGATTTGCCAGATAGTGCCAGATAGAATAATTGCCAGATAAAATGCCAGAAGATATGTCAGATAGAATGCCAGAAGATTTGTCAGTAAGAAAATGTATAAATGTCATGGTGGGGATCACACGAAGTAAAGTAATTTTATTTTTGTTCAAATACAAGTTTTATTAAAACTTGTTTGTTGCTGTTAGAAGCTGCTTAGGTGGAAGAGGCCGAGGAAAAGTCTGGCTGTCCCACATAAAGCAGCATACTGAAACTAGAGCTCATCGGCTTGCAGTGCCTTGACATGGTGCTAGAAACGTTTTTTTCCTTAATAACTGGGTTTCATAAATAAGCTGAAGAGTCCCCAGCCACCAAAGGGCTAAGTTAATACGGGGTACTTAAGGGCTAAGTTAATATTTTTAGTTGGAACCATGTTGAACCCAAACCAAGGCTGGAACATGTAATTCTGCACAAGTTAAAGGGCATGCCCTCGTGAACGGTGTGGTGGTCCCTCATGCGACTGTTTTTCGCTCTGTCATCCAATGCATCCAGCAAAAAGAGAACGTTAACAAAACCAAGGAGGGAAGTGTTCCCAAAAATCGATTTGTACAATGTCAACCCTGGATTAATCAACAATTATTCATTGTGAATGGGGGTATCCTCCAAATAGGGGCAATATAATTTTAATTGGTCACCCTAATTAAAACAACCTAGGGATCATCAATCCATGGTTGGCATTAACTGCTTTACATCGACTTAAGATATCTCAAGATTGATGGTTGTTTGCATACCCTGGTTAGGTTGGCAAACGTTCCATGAAGAGAAAGCTGTTGTATTGCCTGGGCCAAGCAGCCCGCATGCTGACGCTGAAGAAACTGGATATGTCTTCTATTGTATCTTTGCAGCAGGACAGTTTCAAATTAAAGCATCAATGGCCATTTCAGGAACCTAAATTGGAGGTACCTACCATATATAAAACATTATAAAACCAATGTAAGGGAATATCCCCACAAAATATCGCCTTATATGGTAACCTGGTACACTACCTCCAATTTAGGATCCTGGAATTCCCATTGAAAACAACGGGGTATCAATTCCATTGCAAACAATTCATTAAGACATAATAGGAGTAAGGCCCCCGTGGTTAATGAATGGTTTAGGAACATTAGTTGGTCCACTATTGGGGTCTTTCACGCAGTTCCCACTGGGCTTCTGGACAGGACCCACGGAAGCATCGGATGGCTTTGCGCTACAGTGCCTGCAGCAAGGAAACTATGGAGCACTTTCATGGATTCCTGGGGGTATTTGACCAAGCTGAACACCAGGATTTGACGGCCGTGGGGTGTAGAGATGCAACAGTTGGAATCTTGAAAAAATTGTGCAGCCCATCATCACCAGTGCCTTACAAGTCTGACCCTTTGGATATGATCAGCAGGGTGTGGGTATGTTCAGCATGTCAACACTATATCATGGGACACAATGTCATTGTTGAACCACTTTGATACATACAATCTTTATTTAAACTGGGTGGTCACAACATTCCACTAACCACAGAACTTTGTCAAACTTGTTTGCTTTTACTTTCCAAGGACATGTTGCCACTTGATTTCCCAGAAGTTTTCGATTCGTTGCAGCCGAAAATCGAACAATTTTGCTCAGATGCAGCAGGTGATGAAACTTGGCTGTCTAAAACAGGGGTTGCCTGATGTCTGAAAAAATGTAATGATTTGCAAGAGATCCACCAATCCGGGATAAATTGGATAAAATGAATAAAGACAAACATTGCCTATTACTAGATATGTTGATGTTCACTATGGTACTTAGTATGGCATATGGTGCTTGTTTCCACTGAGGAGCTTGTGGCTTCGGAACTTCTTCAACAAGACTTCCAGAACCTACGTGTTAGAAGCAAAGATTCTGCGCATGCAGCCCGCAGGACTGTTACTGGTGGGTTCAATGACATCATATCTTAAATGATTGGGGCCGAAACCATGAAATTAAAGTAACATTGATGCCACCAGTGGGTGCCCGATGCCAATCCCAAGCCTTGACAGGATTGCCAGCAGATGCACAAAGGCAGATGGCTACCTGAATCAGGTGCTCAGGTGCTATGTCACTGGACCACAAAGCCCAGCCCAGCTCTTGCAATTCCGACCCTACTTTGCGAAACGGTTTGCCAACATGGTCAAAGCCAACAATGGATGGAGGTGTATTTTGGATCCAAATTAGTGGATTATTGGGGCAAAAACAATTGCAAACTGAAACGCTATAGATTTGTTTAATGATGGCTAGGGGTATCGTCAGACATGAACATAGATCCAAAAAATATGGGATAAACACTCCAACACTAGGTTTTAACATCCCTCATTTTGTCTCTAAGGTAAAAACTTACGGGCTGCCAAGCACCGCTTTGAATCAATACAGAAACCGACTGGCAGATTGGTACTCCATATGCGACCGCTTTTGATCTGTATGGAATCCCTATGTCGTGAACGTGTTGGAAAGGCATCTTGGCTTTAAAATTGACACTGATTATATGTTCCTTTCAAATTCCAATCTTATTGTTTGGTTTGTGTGATTATGATTGGTCATTGATTAATTATCAACTATCCCCAAACCATAGACACATTGGCACATTGGAAACTAGGGAAAAACATAGTGTATTTTTTTCTTGGCCCTTGTGGGAATCAGCCAAGGTTGAGGGGAATTGCGCCAAAGAGTTTCTGGACCGGTGGAATGTTGAAGAAGCACTGACACTTGGTTAGCACCTAGCTGATTTTCCAAACAGCTTTAAACCATATGCCCCTGATATGTATTTAACTTCAAGTGAACTATATAATTCAATTGAGATTGAACCACCATATTCCAGGACTTTAGCAGCACTAGCTGATGCTCATGATGAAGCTTTCCTGGTGACACGGGTTGCTGATTCCGACGGAATGGAGCCTTCTGATTTGCTACATGCAATGCAACAGTAGCTTGGCCAAATGAAACAAGGGATGGTCCCATTGTTTTTTCATCATAGATCAAACTAAAGTAGTATCTCCACCATTCACTTTGAGAAACCCAAGGTTCTTGAAGAACATTGACCACCTATTCACTAATGGTCACCTTTGGAACATGCCTGGCACCTACTCCAGCTTCTTGATGGAGACCCTGACCCTCTGACCAAACTTGATCCAACTTTTTATTGCTGTCAAATGATATATACTATTTGATGACCCCATTGTTTTCCAGTCATGCTACTTCCATTGCAAAAATGTGGTTTATGTTGTTTTATCATGTTTTATCATGTTTTATCAACCCCCTGTTCACACACTAAGGAAAGTACCACTGCTGTTGATACACAAGGGGAAACAATTAGTTCTTGGTGGAGAACGTGCTATCACCCCTGAGATCAAGCATCGGGTACTGGGAAGGTTTCTTGGCTTTGGTGGTCGAAGTAACATGTCTCTCCTACTGCTGTTTCTTTACACGAAGTGAGTTTAAACTATGTTATTTAGATTTTAAATGGGATTTGTTTTACTGGTAACATCATCCATCTCATTGTTTTTTTTTTGCCTGAGCACCATCATCACTATAGTTTGTCAGGATGGTCAATTGGGTCAAGGTTGCGAAGGCCATCATGAACACGGAATTCCCTTCATTTGGTATTTGTATGAACTTGGCCAATGCCATCAAGATCAACCCCAAGATTGAGAAAATCCCGCAATCCAATTTGGATTCTTTGAAAGTGCTGGCTGAAGCTTGGGGCATTGACAAGGACACTCAATTGAATTAGTGGTTAGTAGGCTTTTATGTCATAGTCGGTGGGGGAAGGGTTATATAAAAGCTTAAAAGGGACTAAATCAAAACCTGGGATTTCCAACTCAAGCGTTAAATTTTCAAAGAACTCAGATGGCATCCGTTGAAGGTCCAAAGCAGTCTGCAAGTTGATACCATCTTTGATCGCAGTAGTCAGCTGAGCTGATCGCAACCTGGTAGGCTATCTTCTTGTAAGGTGTGCTCTAGCATTCTCTGCAAGCAGTGACACCCGTGAGGGTCCAGAGCCACATTCAGCAATGTTGAAGAAACCCACTCACTTTGTGAAATGGGCCACGCTCCTTGATGATCTTTTGGAGAACAAACGAGGAGTGCTTGTATTTGGTCTGTTGCCAAGCCAAATCTGAGGACTTGCTCAAAGTCGAGATGCGGACACTTTACCCAATTGCATTGGCCATCCAGAAACACACCGGAGAGAGTGAAATGAAGCTTGCCTGGAAGGCTGCCATCACCAGAGAGCGGAAGCTCTGTGGTCCCAAGGCCTGCGTGCATGCTGGGGAAATTGTTTGCCGAAATCTTGCATTTACATTTTCTACCAGCAATGTGGAAAGGCTGTGCCTTGAACCTACTGGTGATGGTTTGAAATGTGTTGTTGTTCCATCAGTGTTTGAAAAAAACACAAACCCCACAATCAAAACTTTAAAGGTATTTTTTAATGTGACATTGGCTCCCATGTCCTAGTCAGCTTTCACGATCTGAGGTTTGCCAAGAGTATCTGGATGTCGGGAACACAACGCGGTGATGTTGGCATTGATGCCCTAAATGATGAACTTCGTGTGGCCTACATGGACAACATTGAGGAGGGTGTCAACATGGCACAACTTGAATGGGAATCTTGGTGGCACCGGTCTGACAAACTTACCTAAGATTATTTATATAATCATTCGTTCAAGATTGGCAATGCTCAGTGGGGATTTGCATGTCAAGCAATTTATTTTTCAAACTGTAATGTTAGCTTTTCCGAGTTCATTATTTGGGGATGGCATGTTATGCTGAATGAGGCTCGTGTATATGGAAATGCCCGGCATGTCAGGATCTTACCTTTTTTCCATTGCATTTTAGGGCTGTGCCTGTTGAAACTGCTGTTCAAGCTTAGAGCAAATTGGAACCAATGAGGTCTCAACCAGGGTGCACAAAAGGAAATCCGAAAGAAAAAGTCCTGATGATTGTGGCAATGAAAAAAGTTGGCTACTCAAAAGGAGGCGAACTGTCAACATGGTGGCAGCTAGGAATGCAGGATCGTCAACAGATTGGGCCCCAAAGGCCCACTCCCTTGCTCAGTCATTGTGGACTTCCCAACAACAAAGAGAAATTGAAGTCCAGAAGGAAAGAACCAATGCCAACAGTGGTCCCCTCAGTTTATTTTTGAATGTGGTGTGTGATATATCACTGCAACAACAGTCAAATTCTGATCGTCGACAACAACCCTAATCTGACATTGAACATGCCCAGGAATGCAAGCCATTAGCGATGGTGTCTTGAAAGGGACCAAGAAAGATCGAAACAGGCTCAAGACCTACCTCACACACCAAGCCCAGTTGCGACACAACTACCACAAGGATCGTTTGAAACGTGCGAGACTCAAAGTGATAAAAGCATATTTAGTGCCACATAGCCTCACATAGCATAGCTGTTGACATTTGATGATGTTACCCCATGTTACCCCAAAACCAACCACCAGTGTAGCCTCATGAGGCAGAGAGGCATTGCAAAGCATCTTGGCTGCAACCAGCCACCTTGGCAGGAGTCCGTTTGTCTGGATGTTTGGAGCATCCTGCAACCCAGGACCGGAAAAAACTGAGGTCAAAGGTATCTTGGATTTGTCAAAGTTCACAATTTCAGTTGAAACCCACCTTTTTAGATTATGGGACTAATAATTATGTGTTTCTACTTTGATGGGGTATGGATCTGAAAACCAAGGAAAAAAAATCTTCATTGATGATGAATGTACTGATGGGGATCTCCATAAACGGGTACTTGCTATGGGTGGCTACATCACATCTCGAAGGGCATGCTCGGACTACATCATTGTGAATGATGTCACCAAACCCGGGGCACGAAATGAGCTATCAATGGTTTTGACAGGTGGGTGCCTGGTGTCCTACAGTTGCTTCACTGCTGGTTCATCAACCCTGGGCAATGGTTGCCGGCTAGCTTTCAAGAGTTTGCTGGTTCAACCCAAATGGGTGTTTGTTTCTCCAAAATTCCAAGCAGATTGCCCTGGCTTGGCGAAAATCATCCATGATGTCATCAAAATCCAAGCTGCACCCCGTCGCTGGAAACTACTTTCCTATGCTGACATGATGGTTTGGGTCTGAGTTTTGAAGTCACATGTTTTCCATTTGCCACACAAAGTTTGCATAAAACTCAAAACCATGTTGTTTTTTCTTGACATGTAGGACCATCTAATGCAAACAAGGTGAAGCAAACGTCCTATGCACCTGGCCGGTTCTTATGTTTCATCGTTGATGAGGAGGAGTCTCAGGAGGTTCCCTTGGCCAAATTTAGTAATTCTATGGGTTGAAGACCAAGTCGGCTGAAAACAAATTCTTTACAATAGTGGTTTGTTTAGTTGCCCAACTTCATTTCAACATTGCTTCAACCAGTTTCACATATACGGGTTTTGTGATGTTTGATTTTAAGTAATAATGGTCCGCAGGTATACCAACAAATTTGTTTGGTATTAGATTCATTAACACCAGATGTATCAGAACCAATCTCACCATAAATCTGCTGTATATCAATGTCATTCGCTAATTTGTTCAAGACAACTGGCCATGTCAATAACAAGGCTAACATTTATCCCTAACTTATCCAGTAAGATCCCAAACATTTCTTTTGATAATCTTGATGGTCCACCTATCAACACCAGTCAGTTCCTGAGGTAAAGGCCCTTCACCAATTGAACATGGTGATGTTGACGGCTAACACAGCCTTGGGGAAGCTCAAACAAATTGACACCAGGCGTACATGGCGTGGTGTTTGCTCTGTTTGATTGCAACTTTAATAACAAGTATGTGCTAATTAGGTTTTCAAATGGTGTGACCATTGGCTTAAAGTCAAGTGGTATTTGAACCATTTGGAATCACCGCTTTGGAGATTGGCATTGGGGAAAACAAAGTGCAACAGGCTGAAAAGCTTGGAAAATTGTATCTAACACCAACCGTCATAATTTATGTGGTTCATATTATTTTTGTGAGCTTTTGTTAGCCATCTTTGGGATGGTCTTGGCTCTGTGATTGGGCTGCACGTCACCATCATTTGGATTTCGTGTATCTTTACCAAATCCTGGATTTGATGTGCTTAAACTGTATTTACACAAGAGCCCACTTGTAACTAACCATGTTAACTTTATTTCCTAGTTTCGGAAATAAAGTTGACACTAGTTATGAATATGCATCATGGGGAGAATTCAAAGATTCACTTCTAGTAGTGCCTGGAACCCTTCCAAGAGGTGTCGCTTTGAATTCAGCCAATCTGAGCTCATTTGGATAGTGAATTTGGGAATTCTTTCAAAAATTTAGATGATTGGAAGTACTTAGAATATTCACTACCGGTAGTGAATTGGGAATTCTATCAATAATAATGGGGATGATCGGATCCCTTAGAACCCTCACTACCAGAAGTGAATTAGGAATTCTATCCAATATAAAGGGGATGATTGGGGATCCTTAGAACGTTTGCTATCGGTAGTGAATTGATGTTTTTTCAATAATTGGTATGGTTGGTGGCCCTTAGAACGCTCACTACCGGTAGTGAATTGGGAATTCTGTCAATGGGGAGCCCTTAGAACGCTCACTACCGGTAGTGAATTGGGAATTCTGTCAATGGGGAGCCCTTAGAACGCTCGCTACCGGTAGTGAATTAGGAATTCTGTCAATGGGGAGCCCTTAGAACGCTCACTACCGGTAGTGAATTGGTAATTTTAACCAAAATGGGACAATCGGGTGCCCTTAGAACGCTCGCTACCGGTAGTGAATTGGGAATTCTGTCAATGGGGAGCCCTTAGAACGCTCGCTACCGGTAGTGAATTGGTAATTTTAACCAAAATGGGACAACCGGGTGCCCTTAGAACGCTCGCTACCGGTAGTGAATTGGGAATTCTGTCAATGGGGAGCCCTTAGAACGCTCGCTACCGGTAGTGAATTAGGAATTCTGTCAATGGGGAGCCCTTAGAACGCTCACTACCGGTAGTGAATTGGTAATTTTAACCAAAATGGGACAATCGGGTGCCCTTAGAACGCTCGCTAACCGTAGTGAATTGGGAATTCTGTCAATGGGGAGCCCTTAGAACGCTCGCTACCGGTAGTGAATTGGGAATTCTGTCAATGTGGAGCCCTTAGAACGCTCACTACCGGTAGTGAATTGGGAATTCTGTCAATGGGGAACCCTTAGAACGCTCGCTACCGGTAGTGAATTGGTAATTTTAACCAAAATGGGACAACCGGGTGCCCTTAGAACGCTCGCTACCGGTAGTGAATTAGGAATTCTGTCAATGGGGAGCCCTTAGAACGCTCACTACCGGTAGTGAATTGGTAATTTTAACCAAAATGGGACAATCGGGTGCCCTTAGAACGCTCGCTACCGGTAGTGAATTGGGAATTCTAACCAAAATGGGACAATCGGGAGCCCTTAGAACGCTCGCTACCGGTAGTGGATTGGGAATTCAAACCAAAATCGGGATGATCGGGAGCCCTTAAAACGCTGGCTACCGGTAGTGAATTGGGAATTCCAACCAAAATGGGGATGATGGGGAGCCCTTAGAACGCTCGCTACCGGTAGTGAATTGGGAATTCTGTCAATGGGGAGCCCTTAGAACGCTCGCTACCGGTAGTGAATTGGGAATTTTGTCAATAGGGAGCCCTTAGAACGCTCGCTACCGGTAGTGAATTGGGAATTCAAACCAAAATCGGGATGATGGGGAGCCCTTAGAACGCTCGCTACCGGTAGTGAATTGGGAATTCTGTCAATGGGGAGCCCTTAGAACGCTCGCTACCGGTAGTGAATTGGGAATTCTGTCAATGGGGAGCCCTTAGAACGCTCTACCCTGTGGAGCCCTTAGAACGCTCACTACCGGTAGTGAATTGGGAATTTTGTCAATAGGGAGCCCTTAGAACGCTCGCTACCGGTAGTGAATTGGGAATTCAAACCAAAATCGGGATGATGGGGAGCCCTTAGAACCCTCGCTACCGGTAGTGAATTGGGAATTCTGTCAATGGGGAGCCCTTAGAACGCTCGCTACCGGTAGTGAATTGGGAATTCTGTCAATGTGGAGCCCTTAGAACGCTCACTACCGGTAGTGATTTGGGGATTCAAAATGTATCAAAAAAATGGTGCTATTAAGATAAATAGTGTTCTAACAGGGAGTGACGGTCGCTCCCTGTTAGAACGCTCGCTACCGGTAGTGAGTGTTCTAAGGGAGGGTTGGGAAACATCGACCCAGGGATGATCTTGTGTTTTCGCTGGGGTCTTAGTGAGAAGAACGCAAGATTGATGGTGCCCCAGTGACGGAAAACCTCCCTTAGAACGCTCGCTACCGGTAGTGAGTGTTCTAACAGGGAGTGACGGTCGCTCCCTGTTAGAACGCTCCCTACCTTATAATCCCAAATACCGGTAGTGATTTGGGGATTCAAAATGTATAAAAAAATGGTGCTATTAAGATAAATAGTGTTCTAACAGGGAGTGACGGTCGCTCCCTGTTAGAACGCTCGCTACCGGTAGTGAGTGTTCTAAGGGAGGGTTGGGAAACATCGACCCAGGGATGATCTTGTGTTTTCGCTGGGGTCTTAGTGAGAAGAACGCAAGATTGATGGTGCCCCAGCGACGGAAAACCTCCCTTAGAACGCTCGCTACCGGTAGTGAGTGTTCTAACAGGGAGTGACGGTCGCTCCCTGTTAGAACGCTCCCTACCTTATAATCCCAAATTGCTTTTATTTTGATTTCCCTAGATGGGGTTGCATCCCATTGCAAGATGAAATAGGGCTTGGCTCCAGAACTTTGCAGGGCCCAACTGTTGGGAAGCCATGCCGAAAAAGAAAGCATCAGCGCCGTCGGTGGCTGAAAGCCAATCCAGTGACCTGCCAGCAACAGGTTCTGAATGGAATGCAGAGCTGCCACTTGGTTGAAATTTGGGACCATGCCCTGCTTAAGTTTACCAACCAAGTTCAGGATGAAAAGTACTTTATTTTGTTTTGATAGTGGTTTCAAATTGAACATGGTCTGTAAAGCTAAAACCCAAGCTGTTGATTAACATTGGTTTTCTGCATTTAACCTAACCATCAGAACCATCAACCATTATCACCCATTAACCATTGTATTTTCATGTGTCGAATAAATAATTGTTATGGCAAATGATGATAATTAACAATAACAGTGAATCATCCCCTCAAAAATGATCTTTGGGTTTTTGGATATGAAATCAAAATCAACCTTTGGCGCAAGGTTGGACAACTACAAGCGCTCTATCACTGGACTCTTGGATCTATGGCCAGATGTGGTGACCGAAGATGCGTTGCTAGTGAGGGATGGAGGACGTGAGGCCTGTTGAGTTAGCCGACCCCACACCCACAAAATGTTGTTTGGTTTCCAATTGTTTTATTTTATTTTTATTGATATAATGGGGCTTACTCGTCGTCACAAACACCTGTATATTGGGATTTCGTTTCATTGGTGATTGATCAAATCAACACTTGTGGTTTGAAATGGATGGTTGTAACACACATCATTCTTTGAAATGTCATGAACATCACTTGGAGGCCCCTTTCCACAGCTCCAACTTTACTGCTGTGATGCTGAATGATGATGCCAAGAAGAAGGTTTACAAATGTGGCCAGAACTGGTTTCGTCACAACCTCTTTTGGAATCCTACGTCAGGCGTGCCTTGGCTAAATCTAAATTAAAACCAAGTAAAACAAAAACAGTGTCTTTTGAATTAGAATTGGCCAATCTTGAGATGTTAAGACAAATCAATGGGGTTGAAAATCTTTATTGATAATCGTGTAGGTAAGAACTGCTGTTTTGACCATGCACGGTGTCTTCATGCAACACTGAGACCCCGATCCGTTCCAGTGTGGTGGACATGATCATCAAGCACCACTTTGCTGAGCCATCCCACTACCCAACGGTGCTCCAAGTTCATGTGTCAAAAGATGCTTGTCCATGAGGATTATTTAACATAATTCCCAAAAATCATGGGGCAATCCGGTTTTATGGTGTTCATACCACTTTAAGGGGGGAAACGATCACCTGATTTTGAGACATGACATTGGCATTTTTATGCTTTGGTTTGTTCCTTGGCTTTAACCCCCCTTGAAACAAGTGACCTGGAGACCCCGTTTTTTGATCAAAAAACGGGTGTTCCAGGTCACTTGTGAGAATTCGGTTCAAAGTGGAAAATTACCACATGACATACCCATTTAAATCACCAGTTTTATTAAATAAATATCATCATCATCATCTGTTTGCTGTTGGTTCCATCAATATCTTCTCCCCTCTCTGCACCTGGGGCCAAGGAAGTTGGCTATCAAGGCGCTATGCAGGCAGTTCCTGGAGAGGAGCCCATGTTTGCGCGGGTGCGGATGATTTCCCCAGTGGAAATGGACTACGCATTTGTGTTTGCAGCTTGGAGGGACAAAGATGACCACGTGAAAATGGATCAGTGGAAGAGGTGGGGGTTAAAACCACGCAAAATCATTCAAACTGCTTTTAATTGCTTCATGCTGAGTTCATTATTATCACCCACCTGACCCTGGATAGGTTCTTTCTGTCTACAAGCTTTGAATACCGGATGGATGATGTACCCTTGGATGAGTTCCGAATCTGCACTTTAGTGATGGAAAACATTGTGCGACCACCATCTAATGAAGATTACTTGCTTCTGATCTATGCTGATTAAGCACTTGCATACTTTGAATTTTTGCTTGATTGATATTGGTTCCCCACCTGCCAGGTGAGGGTTGTTAGATTTTATCAGAGAATGTCAGATGGAATGCCAGAAGATATGCCAGATAAAATTCCATGAGATATGCCAAATAGAATGCCAGAAGATATGCCAGATAGAATGCCAGAAGATATACCATATAGAATGCCAGAAGATATGCCACATAGAATGCGAGAAGGTATGCCAAATAGAATGCCAGATAAAATGTCGGATAGACTGCCACAAGATATGCCAGATAGAATGATAGAATCCCAGAAGATTTGCCAGATAATATGCCAGAAGATATGCCAGATAGAATGCCAGATAGAATGCCAGAAGATATGCCAGAAGATATGCCAGAAGATATGCCAGAACATCTGCCAGAAGATATGCCAGATAGAATGCCAGAAGATATGCCAGATAGAATGCCAGATAAAATGTCAGATTGGTAATTTTCCCGTTGGTTTGGTACTGCTTTGGGGGTTAAAAAAGGGCGACTTTTTAGCCCAAAAAGGGGCTCCAAAAATAGGTCAAACAAGGCGCCCCCCAAAGTCCCAAACCAAACGGAAAATTACTATGTCAGATAGAATGCCAGAAGATATGCCAGATAAAGTGCCAGAATGTTTGCCAGATAGAATGCCAGAAGATTTGCCAATTAATTTGCTAGAAGATATGCCAGATAGAACGCCAAATAGACTGCCAGAAAATATGTCAGATAGAATGCCAGAAGATTTGCCAGTAACAAAATGTATAAATGTCATGGTGGGGATTACACGAAGTAAAGTAATTTTGGACTAACCCAACCCAATGTATCACAATGTCAAAACAAAATCAATTGGATCCAAATGTGTAAATGTGTTTTTCATTACTCGCAACAATGCTTTGAACTTTAAAGTGCTGACCTAAGGTTACACATGTTCGCTGTCCAGGAACGGCAGTGCCTTGGATGACACCATTTTTTCCATCCAATTACCTTTGTTTAATTGCCAATGAAAGGAAACTCAATACGGGTCTTTAACATGTATGGTTCCTTCAATATTTTTTTGAATCATTGGGATGAATACATTCTTATTAATATATTATATATACACCTATTATGGGCTTTCCGGATGTGTTGGCCAAGGAACTTCGAATTGCAGGGGGTTGCCTTGAAGCACAGCCCTCTCCAGCTGATGTTTAGCGTTTTGGGATTCAAGAATGAATATGAACAGAAGCATGGTCCGATCAAGAGCGAAGCCCTGGCCAAGCGCTATGAAGATAGCATTATTTGGGCAAATCCAGAAGAGGCTGCAACATGGTTGCAAATCGACTTATTAAAATAATCTGGCACGTCATCCATGCATATTTTGTTTCCACTCAGGTATCTCCTTCATTTGTCGACACCGCCTGCACTATGGGGAACAGAGCCCCTCGTTTGCATTAGACTATATATCAATCATAGTGAAATGTGTTAAATCATCTATTCCCCTTCACTAAATAAATCAACATAAGGCACAATATCTATTGTAATTATGTTATTATGGAATCAACCCCATCTATTAAATGTCATAAATTATGGGTTAAGACCATCAATGAGGGCGATGACAATCTCGTGGTCTAATCATTGATGAGCTCCTTGGTGACGAAGATCCTCATAGATATCGCGCGGTCTTCTGTCCTTGCTCACCTCCTTCAGATCGGTGGTTGCAAACATGTCTTCCACCATGTTTCTTGTGATTCTGGCTTTCTTCCGCTTCTGCGTCTGGGGGTATCCTGGGACGAAGCTGATTCCAGCGGAATCCAAGAGTAATGAACCAAGGTCCACTGAAGGACTCGGTCATTGCCTCATCTGAGGTTTTGAAAGACCAGGAGCTGGCCAATCTTCTATTGGCTGCTGATGAAGACCGAAAAAATCCGTTCAATTCATGGAGTAAATTCCAGATCTTGATTCAACAGGGTAAACATCCTGAAGGTATCAAATGGGTATTCTTTGCTGTGCAGCTTGGCTTCCCTTGTATAAACTACACCACCAGTCAAGACATCATGATGGTAAAAATCTATTGGATTTTCAAAATGAATGTGATTTTGAAAGGGCCCATGTTTGATTTTTTTTACATTGTCCAAATTCAAAATTCCTAAGGTACGATGGTGTCAAGAACGGCTATCTTGGGAAAGATGCCACCAGCAACAGGAATCTGCAAAGTCTGACTTGCCGCATTCTCTTGGCCCAACAGACGTGCCTGAACTTGCTCATGTCCTACATGGACACAGAGTGTGCTGATTGGCCTGCAAGCGTCCGGCAAGCGATCAGAACGGCATCAGCAAATCACAATGCTCTGAGGATGAAACTTGTCATGATTCAGTGTGGATCATTAGTGTCTTGGCAGCTCTAACAAAAATATCAGAATGATGTGTCACAATTCGGCAATATAATTGATTGAACCCATCAAGTTCCCCAACAAGTTTGATATCAACATATGTTACCATATGTTATATGTGGGTTTTCACCTATATGTTCTTTTAAAACAACAAGTTGCCAACCAGTAAGGAAGGAAAACACCAGTGATGAGACATGGCGAGCAGGATGGCCGGAGTCTGCAGAGAGGTTCTGGCAGTTGGTGCGTGTAACTCGGATATCATTGTGTTTTTTCATGGGAATGTACCCTTGTTTCATACGATATTTCTCAAAATGTGTGATGCTCGAACATATTCAAAATACCCATAAATATGTTCAAACTGTTTTCACACATACCACCACCGACCGCCATTCCATAAAACATATATTGTGTTCAAATCAACCATTACAAGTGTAAACTGAGGGGCTCTAGTCTTATTTTATCTCATGCAGAAACTCTATTTTCTCCATTGCCCAGGGATGTGTCTATGACCTTGAGTATTGGAGCTGCTTGACATGCCTGGTCAAGAACAGGAGGTCCACCACGGAGTTCCTTGAAGCACCTCAGCTTGCTGATGAGCTTCAGCAAATTCAAGATGGGATGAGACAGGAGTACAAGGACAAAAGGACCGCTGAGAACAAGGGCAAGATTGATGAGGAGCCAGAGGATCTGAGTGATGATGAAGGTGAAAAAAAAGAAGACCCGATCAGGACCATTTGCACCCACATGGTGATTGGTGAGACGGACAAGCCTGACCTTCCCTTCAAGAAGGATGCCAATACGGAGGAAATGACCAAGCTCCATGACAAACTGATGGCGTTCAAGAAACTTGCCCAAAGGAAGGTGCTTTCCGACAAATGTGGGAACCACCATGGTTATTTTATTTTTTCATGTTCCAAAAAACACGTATTGTTTGTGGGTATGTGAAATGATACAAGCATTGACATGACACTTTCTGATACTTAAATTATGTCCCTTGGATAGGTGGCAACGAACATCAAGCTGATCGTTGAGCCCAACAATGAAAGCGACCTGGTGGATTTGTATATGGATACCTTCCTGAAGGATTACACCAGCGAGTGGTGTCTTTGTATCAATTAGCAATGATGGCTATCCTTTTGAAAACCATTTGTACTTCGACCTTGGTGGTGAACACCCTGTAAAACATGGGTTAGATCTGGGCAACATTATGTGGGGTTTTCAACCGAAATATCTTTGGTTAAAAATTTGGTTGTGCTTCAAAATTGAAGATATTACATGTTATTACTAAAATAATAATAATAACTATTATAGGTTAAAATAAATGAAGTAACATCTAAAGGGCATGGTACATGGTTTGAAAGTAATGTCAACCCTGGATTCATAAACCATTGTTTAATAATGTGGTGTAGTACTCCTCCAATAGTCATAATCTGAGATATCCCTCCAATTAAACAGCCTAGGGGGTTTATTAATCCAGGGTTGACATTATTATGCCCATCATGGTTTGATAATATTAATATTGCTCCACAAAAAAAACACGGTGATGGCTGAGCATCCCAACTGAGGCGGACATTGCATCCAGGAGAAGACCCGCATTGCGTGTCCACCTTGGTGCACGTGTTTGACAGCAAGAAAGCTTCAGAGGCTGGTAGCCAACCCAAAGTGCGACCACCACCTTTGAAGGAATCTTGTCTTAAGTAGGGCAAACTAAACTAATAATTGTGATGCCAGCTTTGGACTCAATCCTAGTTCAAACTTGTAAAACATATTTCACTGGATCTTTACCAACTCCTCAGGATGGCCGCCTGATGAAGCTGCTCTCAGCCATCTCGTTACTTGATTGATTTGGCAATTGGATAGCATGATCAATGCTATCTATAAATTTCGATTCTTAGTTAGTCATGGTAGTGATTACAGTAATGGATGGGTAATTACAAATCATGTCATTGATGCTTGTGATGATGATGATGATGATGGTGATGATGATGATGGTGATGGTGGTGGTGATGGTGATGGTGATTGTGATGATGATGATGTTGATGGTGATTGTGATGATAATAATCATGAATATGATAAGACTAGTACATCCAGGTGTTTCCATAATAAATGGAGGATCCCCAAAAATGGAAAGCCCATAAGTCTATAATAAGGGAAAATCCTACTAATGATGATTTGGGGGTACCCCTATTTAGGAAAAGCCCATATGAGTTCAACCATCATCATTGCTTATCTGAGGCGAGTTCGCTTCAAGGACAATTGCGATGGTGCCCCTACGTTTGCCCCGGGCGACTTCATCATGCTGAATGATGGTGGCCGACCAGGCTGGGCATATGTTTTGGGATTGTAAATTTCAATTGTTAATGAACACATTGCATCCACAAAATACATTAAGTTGTCTTAACTTTTAAGAGCATCATATCTGTAATGGAACGCAACCTTTGACCCCATCAGGAAACAAGTCAGTGCTTACTACCTTGAAGAAGGGAGAAGCATCAGTCCAGAGATGTGAGAGAACAATGATGGTGATCTACGATGAGGAGTCGATCATGGAAAGGCTAGGGGCCCACACATCACTTTGTGCAACCATGCTCAGCTCAGTTGCTTGCACTTTCCCTGCAGGCGTGAAAGGCGAAACACCCATGCGATCAAGCAGTCCGAGAACATCCACTTGCTGATGCCCCCTACATCTTTGAAAGTGCTGAAGAAAACCAGGCCCGTTGAACAAACAAAATGTCACTTAATGATAGTACTCAGCTGTCTTCTTTTCAAACCATGGGAGTCAATCAAAACAAAAATGTTGGAGGATCAACTACAATGGCACCAACCGTGGTGATGTAATCTATGGAGTCAAGATGCCGTCTTTTGACAGCTGCTGGCGGATAACTGTGGGGGAGAAGAAACTTCTCTTCGGTAAGCACCGTGTGGCAGTTGGAGGTCAAGCCCCAGAAGGAGCAGAGAATGAAGGTGGGAACATTGAACAAAAATCAGATCAAACCAGTTCCAACTCAAATGTTATTTTAGGGTTTCTAAGGTTCATTGAGTTTTTCCCCAACCCTGTTCTGTGGGTTCCCAGGACGTCGATCAGATGCCATGGAAGAGCCCGCCTTCTTCCATGCTGGACCATGGTCGCTGGATGAAGAGCTGGTTCATGACTTCTCAGTTGGTGCGATCAATGACATGACAGCAGGATTGGGTTCAACTAAGGAAAATTTCATATGTTTACATAATTTGAAAAATATAACTGTTTAAAATGGTTTAAAAATTTTGGTCCAAATCACAATCCTGTTCCCTGGATTCTGTATGTAGTGTTCGCAACTCTTGGGACTCGAAAAGATCGTTAGAACACTCCAGAATGCATTCCCAGTATTGTTATTGTTCAAGTGTCCGGTGTCCCACATGTTTATTGATGTTTATTCAACTATTGGCCCTGGCGAGGATTTCAACACCAACAAAAAATCAAGTTGTATCCACAAAAATATTTGGTTATTTCATGTTATTTCCAGTACTGTCTTTATTGGGATGAATGCCCCTTGAAGGAGATGGTTCCCTGGCAATGATCGCTATCCGCCAGAACATGCCTTATGTTGGCCTGACATTCACCGAGCACCATGTGTCTTGGCTGCAATTATTATTGTTTATCTTACTTCATGGGTCTTCCCTGCAATTATTGTTTATCTTACTTCACCCCTTTAATCCTGTCTTCAGTGGTTATGTTACTCTCAGAAAGAATGGCAACTAAGTCAAAGAAGCTCATCGAACGACTGGAAGCCATGACATTCGAGTCGATGCAGAACCCGAAAGACCCCCTCTACTCCAATGAGCTGGTCAAGCTGATAAAAGAGTCCAAGAAAGTTGGAAGCAAGTCAGTCGCTTGGATGAAGATATTATTTAGCTGGTTGAAAAGGGGCTTGCTTTGACGGTTCGAATTATCATCATTTCACGAAAAAAAATAGAACAACACAGTCTCCACCAACTAGATTTTTTCTTATGCCAAAAGGGAATGATTTGGGGTTTGAAGACATATCGAACTTTTGGAACCCAAAATGACACCTGATTTTGAGACACACCCAATCTGTTTGCAGCTGCAACCAGGATGACCAGAAGAAACGTGAGAAAGACAAGGCCAAGGAGGAGAAGGCAAAAAATAAGAAGACCCGTAAGGATGTTGAGGAGGAGGAGGATGTTGATGATGGAGAAAATGAAGAAGATGCTGCTGCCCAAGAAGAAAAGTCCGATGATAATGAAGATGTGAGCTTTGGAAGCAATGGGGATGCTGATGAGGTTTCAGAGGAAAGAGGTGGTGAGAAAACCCCTGCATGGTTGAACAGTGCTGGTGAGGAGACGTCAGAGCCGGAAGATGTTGACAGCCATGAGGTGACAAAGCTGAAGAAGGAGGCTGAGGCAGCTGCAGCTGCCCCAAAGGCGAAAGGGAAGGCAAAGGCGAAAGCCAAAAGTGCTGCAAAGAAACAGCCAAAGGAGACCAAGAAGGCGAAGGAGCCCAAGGCAAAAGCGAAGGGAAAGGGAAAGGGAAGAGGACGAGGAAAGAAAAAGGTTGAGGAACCGGAAGAGAGTGATGATGAGGATCAGGTTGATGAGATGGAGGATGAGCCAAGTGTTCGAGCTGATGAGTCGGATGTGGAGGAAGAGCCTGAGCCTGTGAAAAAAAAGACGAGTGGAAAGGACAGCAAGAAGCGAAAGGATGCCACCAAGGACCTTATTTTTTTGTTTTTGGGTGGTTCCAATTTGTTATGAATAGATCAGGTTCAAAAAATGTTATGGTATTTGTTTCCCACTTGGACCAACTTCCCACTCCAGAGTTTTTTATATAATGTTTCACAATCTAACACAAGCCTCACTTACCATTTCTCTCCAGCTCAATCCACCTCATGAAACAATATCCCAAAGACATAGTTTAACATGATAATAATCTTACTGATTCAAAACAATTCTACTTCCCAGTCCCATCAGGATGCCGATGCCGTTGCTTCCAAGTTGCGCAAGATGGCCAAGGGCAAGACTCGAGCTGGCACTGCCTGAGTGGTGGCTGTGGCGTGGTGAATTTTGTTTGCTCGGCTTCTCTTGCAGTGCTTGGTTCAAGGAGTGTTGGGAGTTCTGAACTTACTCCGATAAAAAAATACATTTTTTTCAATTGACTTGCCAACATTTAAGGATTCAAATAACCCAAGATATATAATTATTAGTCCCCATTTCAAATAAGCCAACATATAATCATTAATCCCCAGGGTCACTCACCGTCAGCACCTGGAAGCCTTGAGCAATAATCTGCTTTAGGATGGGGTTTGGGTTGGAGTAGGATGGGAGGCTTAGAGGTGCCTGGGTGATAGCATCCAATGCACCATGCCTCACATAACCGAAGGCAACCCACGGATACCTTCAAGCCCGGGTTGAAAAATAAACTTAGCTGGGTGGTCATTGTCATGGCCCATGTATTGGTTCTTCATTTTCCCATTGGCTTGTAGTTTCTTGAATCTTGCTGGATTTTTGTGATCAAGATTCAAGCATCTCATGCTGTCTCAGGATCATGCTTACTATTAATTCAAAACCATTCACACAATTTTCCATTGGTGATAACTATGTGTTCGATACTTCATCATTCACAACATTTTCATTGGTGATAGCTATGTGTTCGATACTTCGTTGTCATAAGACTACGCATATCTTGTCCTGCAGCTCCTTTCGACTTTGGAGCCATGGGGTCTTTGAAGTTAGGGTCTGATTTTTCTGGATTAGAGTGCCTCAGCTGGGCAACAGGGAGCCTTGGCATTATTTTCCATTCCATTATTTTTTAAAAAAATGGTGGGTTCAAATGGTTCTATGGTTCCTCCTCACTTGGGTTTGTGCTGGGAGATCATCATCTAAGGAAAGCTGGTGTCAAGCACAAGCTGGAATTTATCAGTGAAATTGACCCAAAGCTTCGCAAACTATCGGAAACCATCCATGAGCCCAGAGTTAGCTATTCAGATTCTTGGACAAACATTGTCATTTTGAGCCCCCACAAGAACTTTCCACCAATGCCCACCATTGCAGCCAAGGATGCTTTGCAAAGACGTGCGGCTGACGTCCCATTTGTAGATCTCTATGGAGCTGGGCCACCTTGCCAGCCAGTATCAAGTGCAGGACGCAAAAGAGGTTTTGTTTTTTGGGTTTGACTTAACTAATCTGGAAAAAACTTATTCACGATTATATCGTGAATAAGTTTTTTCCAGTGGGATACTACTGTTCAGTTTATTTTTGGGGTGTTTTTTTCATTTATGTTGTTTATGTTGAAATCAATAAATTACATCATCAATCCTTTCAATATAAGGGGATGATAAACCATTACAAACCTTGTTTTGGGTGGTGCTAATCTGAATTCTCTAAGGATGACCCTCGTTCAAAATGCTACAAAGCCAGCTTTGATTACATCAAAACAAAGCGGCCAAATGCAGTGCTTCTTGAGACGGTGCCTGGCATTATCCGCAACAAGGATTTGAAGAGAAATGTTTATTCAAAGTGGCTTCATGAGCTCCTAGGCCCAATGAAATTTTACACCATTGGTCATTGTGAATTGTCCCCAATAGGTAGGGCCCCCATAGAAACATGTTTCCATGAAATTATGTGTTATTATGGCACCATAAATCCAAGCAGCCAAAATTGTTGACAGCTAAGGTTGAAAAGCGTCACATGTTCGGATGGGTCACCCTACTACACCGTCCACTCGAAAATCTTGGATGCAAAGAACCATGGATTGCCCCAGTCTCGGAAAAGGCTGTTCATAGTGGCCCTCAAAACCAAAAAGATGAAGAAAGCGTTCAAATGGCCTATGCCAAAGCCCTTGGTGCCTTTGGTGAGTGTGATCTCCCAGAACAAGGTTGGTAGTGGAAGAACCTTGGATGCAATTAATATTGGTATATAATCTATCATCCAACTAACAATTAAATTAATATTGGTATATATTATTATTATTACCATCATCCAGCTAACCATAGGGTTATTCAGGTTTGAAATGTGGTTGTAGCACACAAAAGCAAGCCCAGCTCTGCAATCTCGCTTGTATCCGCGTAGTGCCACTCCATTGTGTCCGTGGCGGCCAAATTGGCCGGAAGACTTGTTCACTCCCACTGCCATGCCCATCAGATCGGCCATGCACATGGGTAACGTGAAAGTCATTTAGCGCATTGGACATTTTCTTGTTCATGTCAGCCTTCTTGACAAAGCAAATGTTCTTCGCTGTGGGGTTTTCTCGCCTCTTTGTTCAAGGACCATTGCCCAATCATGCCAGAAAGATGCTGGCAATTGGCTTGCGAAAGATCAAGGAGATGGGTGGCAACCCATCAAAGCAGATATGGTTCCTAGACATGAGATTTATGTTTGTACTCCAATTCATATATATCCCAAGTGCGGGTTATTCGCATATGGTACCATCCCGTTGCTGTAAGATATCAAATCATCTATCAAGGAAAAATCTACAGGAAACTTAGAGGGTAACTAAAATCCAACAAATTTTGATTAATTTGACCACCTGAAACTTCACATCCTTCCAATGATATCAGAAAATAATGGGGCTTCAATCTATTTTAATTTTACCCACGTTGATCCAATTTGAATGTTCTGCTTTTCCTGTATTGCCACTAAAATGCGTGCCTTACCCCAAAAGGGTGCCATTTTTACAACATATTTATCAGGACCAGGACTAGCGACAATAAATCATTTTTTCCTGGATATGTTTTCATTGGATCTACCAAGTGTTGTTTTTTTCCCCACCTGCCAGGTGAGGGTTGTTAGATTTTATCACAGTTGTTCTCCTCCTCCTCAGCTAGCTGTCCTCCTCCTCGTCCTCCTCGTCCTCCTCCTCCTCCAGTTTCTCCTCGACCATGTCTGCCAGAAGATATGCCAGATAGAATGCCAGATGGAATGCCAGAAGATATGCCAGATAAAATGCCATAAGATATGGCAGATAGAGTGCCAGAAGATATGCCAGATAGAGTTAGAAGATATGCCAGATAGAATGCCATAAGATATGCCAGATAGAGTGCCAGATAAAATGTCAGATAGAATGCCAGAAGATTTGCCAGGTAATATGCCAGAAGATATGCCAGATAGAATGCCAGATGGAATGCCAGAAGATATGCCAGATAAAATGCCAGATGGAATGCCAGAAGATATGCCAGATAAAACGCCATAAGATATGCCAGCTAGAGTGCCAGAAGATATGCCAGATAGAATGTTAGAAGATATTCCAGATAGAATGCCATAAGACACGCCAGATAGAGTGCCAGATAAAATGTCAGATAGAATGCAGAAGATTTGCCAAATAATATGCCAGAAGATATGTCAGATAGAATGCCAGATGGAATGCCAGAAGATATGCCAGAACGTATGCCAGGTAGAATGCCAGAAGATATGCCAGATAGAATGCCACATATAATGCCAGAAGATATGTCAGATAGAATGCCAGAAGGTATGCCAGATAGAATGCCAGATAAAATGTCAGATAGAATGCCAGAAGATATGCCAGATAGAATGCCAGATAAAATGTCCGATAGAATGCCAGAAGACATGCCAGATAATATGCCAGAAGATATGCCAGATAGAATGCCAGAAGATTTGCCAGATAATTTGCTAGAAGATATGCCAGATAGAACGCCAAATAGAATGCCAGAAAATATGTCAGATAGAATGCCAGAAGATTTGCCAGTAACAAAATGTATAAATGTCATGGTGGGGATTACATGAAGTAAAGTAATTTCTTATGGGCTAAGGATGGTCGATGTTGGGGCCTCCAAGAAGTTCCAGAACAATCCGAAGCGAATTACTGCACCAACATTGACCAAAACAAGAGCATCTTCTGGTGGGTTCTACTTGACCAAGGTCAATCGCCGGTTGCTCCCGAAAGAGGCTTGATTGTTATGACATGCTTTATCCCTTTAAATTATGATAATTGTATCATTGAATTATTATTGCCAAAATATGGGGATTTTGTGGTAAAATGGTAAACCAAAAAACTATAATATCGGTGGTGTCACTAGACCATCCCCATATGGTTGGCCACCCTGCAATCTAAGGAATGCCTACGTCTTCAAGGATTACCTGATGAAATTCATGATTTGGCCAGGAAGATGGGTGTGAGCGATTCGCTCTTGATGGGGGCGGCTGGAAATGCATGGCCAGTCCCCCTGGTTAGCAAGATAATTAAACATATCTGCATGTCAATGCGATGGCTGTGACTTTTGCTCGAACTGATGATGTGGTGGATGAAAACAACTACAGCTGCCGGGTCTTCTGAAATTGATTTAATTTCAAGATGGAAACATATTAATTCTAAGACAATGGGGCATCTCACTGAATAATATCAATGGGAATTTCAGGATCCTAAAATGGATGTACCTACCATATATAAGGCTTATATAAGGCCTATGTAAGTGAATGTCACCACAAAATATTGCCTTATATGGTACAGTACCGCCATTTTAGGATCCTGAAATTCCCATTGATTATAGTTGTGATAATAAATTAGATATTCGATTAAATTATTCCGTTTGTTGGAACGGCTGCCCAGGCCTGGCTGTTGAGGCAGCTGCCAGCAGCAGCTGCAGTGGCTGCAGCAGCAGCAGCAGCGGGCGGAAGCTGCTGTTGAGGGCGTTGGAGTATCGATTTGGGATTATTGGGGTTGAACCTATATAGCAACTATTCAACTATGATAAAAGCAGGTCAGAATATTTAGAATATATTATAATTCTAAAAATATAATAAATATAAAGATAAATAATAATATAATTATATATATATATATAAATTAAAAATAATAATTTATATAAATCTCTAAAATAAGAATTACATAATAAGAAAAATAATATTGACATATAATTAAATTTGGATGGATAATTACCTGACCGGATCGAAGATATATTTTTTAAATATATAATGGAATATATAAATATATTAAGAAAATAAAATGAATAAATATAGAAATAAATAAATCTAATATAAAAAATATATATATATATATTTTTTAAAAAAATATATATTCGAAATCT